ATAATAGTAATAGAGGAGTATTTCGATGTGGCCACACACAAAATAAATAAATAAATTATATATATATGGCCAATCAATTATAATTTTCATAGTTTCTATTATGTATTTATGTTCATACAACTCCTTAAGAAATCGAGTGCTCTTATTTTTAAAGAGTTGGTAGGGTATTGTTTGCACCATAAATAGATTTTCTGTCAATTATGACTAGGTTTAAATTTTCTATTACTTCTTCGTAGTATTACTATTATTATGCAGGAAAATCTTGAAGGTTAAAGATGAGTTAAGACAAGTTTTGAAGATTCAAGGGATAGAAGGCACATGACATTGTAAGAAAGGAGATTGAAGATTTCGGAAGTTAAAAGTAATTATTTAGGTGGTGGTTAATGAAAGTTTTTTCCTCCATTTTTTCTATAAATTGCCATTAATGGCTCCATTGTAAGACACCAACAAATCAATACATGAGTTGATTTCTATTTCTTTTCTATCCTAGAAGTAGATCTAATCTACATAAGAGTATTTTAAATTTAGATAGGAGTAGTCTTAATATACTTTACTCGTATTTGATTGTTCATTCAATCATTTATATCATCATCTTCTTCTTCTCTCTTTCTCTTTTTCTTGTTTGTACTGCCATTATTTTTATTCCAAGAAAGTCCTTGAACTTTCAAGGAATAAAATCTCAACACAATTGCTTAATCATTGTGTTGTTTGGTGAAATTTTAGTTAAGGCTCTATCGATCTAAGCCTAACAAAAATTTTACTAACAGTAGTGGCTGATGTGTATGCAATTTAAGTAAACTAAAACAATAAGTAAATAAAAAATACCATATGCATATATATTATGTGTTACTCATATGGTAAGAATTTTCTTTACCACAACAAAAGTCTTAGTTTCGAGTCTTATCCACCCCTAGCATAAAGAGAAACAAGACTTCAGGCTACTAAGTTTTAGTCTTCACATATGTAATACTACAATAATATTCTACCGTTTGATCAAAAAATAAAAATATATATGTACAAATTACACTGATAGTCCATGTATTTAAGTCTTTGTATCATTTTGGTTTCTGTGATTTCAATTGACTCAATTTCAATTTTGAATTTATAATTTTGTCTCAATTTAATCCAATTACTTACAAGTGTTAACATTTTTTAATAAAAAATATCCACATAAGTGACATTATGTCATATTTTTTAAGGCAAAATTATAAACTTGTTCAACTAGTGACTGTGAGTTAACCAATTTAGTGATATTTTTCATCATAAACACTAACCGTGTTATCAATTAAAGCAAATTGATACAAAATTTAAAATTTAGAGTTAAAATTAAGTTAATTGAAAGTGTAGTAACCAAAATAACACGAGGTAAAATGTAAGGACTACTAGTAAAATTTTTCCTATATTTATTTAACTGTTTTTCTTCTCTTTTTGTGTGGATGAGGGAGACTCAAACCCAACTCAAAGGATCACAAATGAAGTAGAAAAACAAATTTCTGATAAAGTACTGAGCTCTTTGTATTTGTTGTTTGTGCGATATTGTATGTTCTACTGTTGTGGAACTATAGTTCAACTGAATTTGATGAACACATCTATAAACTGAATTTTATGGAACTATAGTTCAACTGAATTTTACAGAAGCTTTCAACCATATTTCTGGTAACATTGACAAAATATACAAACTTCTCGCTAAGAAAACAAACATATTTCTGTGATATGGAATTGTTGTTGTTGACACACGAATTGGCGCCTGTTTGTCCCACGTCGACTAAACAATGAATAATTCAATTCGTCCGTAGCCAATTTGCAATGACCCCACCACCCGTTGCCTTTCTCCTCTCTCTCCTATCTCCCCCCTTCCCTCCACCATTGACCCTTCCCCTTCCCGCCACCCTCGACACTCGGCAAACTCTCCTCATCCCCTCAATCCCCTCTTCCCCCAACTCCCCCTTACAAGTTACAATTAGACTATCCATGCGAGTTATATTTTTTTCCTGTAAGCCCACATAATTATTAAACAAAATGCCAAGCAAACATAAATTTTATCAAAAAATCTATAAAACAAAATAACTTCACTAAAATTCTCACTGAATGCATATTTTCCCAAGCATGATTGGATGTTCAAAAAATGAGCTCATAACACCAATATTTGAGAAACTAATCATGGTCAGCAACATGTCCTTTTGTAAGATTTTAGTAAAATTATGTGTTTGTAGACTATATTATACACAAGTTCCATACAAGACTGACATGGTACTAACATTTTTAAAATTATAAATCCCTCTCATGAATCTGTTTACTTTAAATTAATGAATAAAAATGAACCATATCATCATTCTATAAAAAAGTAAACAAAATATGCTTTTATACCATTACTCAGTTCTCTACAATATTATTCCAATTCTTAGAATGCAAATCAAACAAATCCTTATCGTTCCAGTAAATCAATCATAACCCCTTGCATTCACATTTCCTTGTAATACACTACTACTGAAATCTATATTATTATAGCAAAAAAATTACATATTAGCTACACACAAACAACCCATCACTGAATCTTCACCCACATACCAGAACTTGGTATACCAGCATGCACAACAAACAACAGATAGTAACCTGGTGGTGCAATCTCAGCTGTTGAAGGCCCTATCGCAGTTACCCTATACTCCTCTGACCCAACACAGTATAGTTCACTCGTCTTCAGCACCACCATTCTTTGGTTCATACCAAATGAATGCGTCGTAAACGACGGTGCAACAATTCTCACCGATACAACACTCAGTTTCAGGAACCTCAGCACCGTGAAAGTAACCCAAAATGACTGCATATACCTGAAACTCTCATTGATATTCATAATTCGGGGGCGTATTGGGTCATACTCGGGTCTCAAGTAGGGCGGTGAATAGGCTTCCAAGCTCAGGTCTGTTGGGTATTGTACCCCAGTGAAGTTGTAGTATGGATGTGGGTTGCTTCCTCCAACTAAAACACGACCATCAGTTAGCAAAACAGCACTCGAATGGTACATTCTTGGCCTTGTCGCAGGGGACATGACTGAAAACCGGATGTCCTCAACCCCGTGGGGCTTGTAAATCACCGGTCGGGTAACCGGGTTTTGCCCAATTTCCCAACCCGCAGTACCTGATCCGGCACCATTGATGATGACCACGTCACCAGTGGGAAGAAGTATCATGTCACTCATCACACGAGGCATCGGCATGTCCTCCATGACCCAACTGGGATTTTCATCCGTGACCTTTATGCGTCCGCATGAGCGACTCGCAGCATCAAAGATCCCTTGTTTAGCCCTGGAGAACACACCACGGGGTGCACCGCCGCATACCATAACCTCAGCCTCAATGGGCTCGTTTTCATCTATGGGGAGCAACACGGATGAACCTGAGCTAGGGTAGTTTCGAGGATCATCGACAGTTATTGAAGGGAACTCTCTAACAACACGATTTTGCTTGTAATCTAGAGATATAGCTCTTGTGTTGGCAAAAATAAACAAGTTTCCGTCTGGCAATAGGTGTACAAATGGGTACAAGTTGTTCTCATCATCATCTCTAGTCTCTCTGAGAAATTCAAGCCAGAAAGAAGATGAAGATTCAGAGTTTCTAGGTAGAACTCGTAGTTAAACTGTCTCCTTCCACCGATGATGATTATCCGACCATCTGGTAGTCTTTGATTTGTTGCATACCATCTACGCTCCGATAGATAACCAGGAAACTCAACCCAATCACAGGACTCATCATTGCACGGGGCTAACGTGCGCACTACATGATCACCGTCATTGTAGCCTCCGGTCTGGACTAGCGTTCCATCGGGGAGGACAGAACCAGAGGAGCACCACGTATCAGTCTCTACCATTAGTGGCCGAAAAGTGTTAGTGCCTGTGTCATAGAGTAGAGAGTGAGCAGTGCAGTCATTTTTTAGGACATTATCGGAAGGGTCATACCAGCAGCGGCCATAGGGGAGAGAGAGATTAGAGGGGCCGAAATCAGTCCTATCAAACATGACAACCTTGTTGTTATGTAGTAGTTGCATGTGCATAGCAGATATGCCAATGCTTGCGTGCAAGAGACACCATTCGCCTTCACGGCCAATTTGACACATGGCCGGAAATGGATTGAGGAGGAGGAGGAGGATAAATAACAATGCTAGTAGAAAGAAGGTGACCATTTTGGTGAGAGAAAGCAGTGTGTATGTGGGTAGGGAGAGGGAAAATAGGGTTTTGGAATTCTGTTGTTGAGTTCTTGGTTAGAGATGAGTAGGGTTGATGGTGGGAATGGGTATTGATATGAGTTTCTATGTGTATATTATATACTTAATAATTGTTATATTTAATTAAACTAATAAATAATAAGGGTTATAACAAGTAGAAGTTTTCAAGTAAAGATTTAAGAACACTTGGGGGATGAGCATCAGACAAGGGAGGCATTCAAGAATTGCATCAGAGGTCAAAAGAAGTGAACCCAAAATTGAGGGTCACTTCCTTTCGGAGTGTAGAAAATATAGGGAAGCGAAGCTTGGAGTGCTACTCTTAAGCTTTTGGACTCATGGAATTTGTGTGAAAATCATGTAGGCCCCTCTCGAAACAATAGTTAAATTCCATAAATATATATACATATATATAACTTTTTAATATTGATAGTTACACCTACACCCCAACATTTTCCCATTATTTCTGTAAACAATTTTGTTTCTATTTCATTCAATTTCCCCTCTTTTTCTTTTTTCTCCACAAATTTAAGATCTAAACACAACCTTAAGTGGTCAACTGAGGAACTCTAAGGACTCTAGACATTAATTGCTCCAATACTCTCAACTATACACACACACATATATATATATTCAAGCCAAATACGATGAATGGACATTGAGTAGGAAGCATATATATAGAAAGCATACTTTTTCATGTATGATGTTTTAGAACCTATATATGAGAGGAAACCAGTCTCCATTCTCCAGTTACACCACCAGCACAACTTCCTTGGCATGGCATCAAAAGCAAGGGACAAAATTTGCCACACTAATAACTCTATAAAAATGACATATTAACACAAATAAAGGGGCAAAAAGTATAGGATAAAAAACAGGAAATTAAAAAGTAAAAATAAACAGGGATCGTAAATCTTGAGGGTTCAACCTATAGTTCCTTCTACCTCTGCTCTGCCCCTAGAGGCAACTACTGTCCTTCCATCTTCTACATTCGATTGGAACTCCGAAGCGTCGACTTCTAAATCATTGTCCCCTATGCTTTCATCATCGTTACCCATCACTGACAGCATGGTGCATAATGAGGAAGCAAACGAAAAAATATAAAAGCACAAAAGAAGTATAATATACAACAATAGTGATATCTTCCATCCAACAAGCATGTTGAGCAAATTTCAACTAGAAAATTTTCATCATGGTAACTGGTAATATTATAAGAAGATGACATAAATCTAGGCTTGTAGCTACTACAAATTCTTAAAATGGTGTTTCTTCCTTAAAATAAGGTATTACAGAGAAATGATTCTCCCATACTGCAAAAGAGTCTTTTCACCACCAAGCTTAGCAAAAAGTTTCTACCAGCTTTTTGCATTTAACATGATTCATGTTGTTACATGAAACATAACTAATTTCTACTAGAAATGCTAGGAACCATGAAAAGTTTCCCCGAAACAAGTTGTGTGGCGTAGATTTAAAGTGGGTGGAATGTGGGTCACACCTAGAATGATTGTGATATCCATAGATGTATTTGTCCAGATAATTTTCTGATATTTTTTTATGGGTTTGTGGTATTGTTGAATTTCTTCATGCAAGCAACTACTACATAATATATGTTGCTATATATTGTAGTGCAAAAACCTTTTGAGTATGACAGGGTACATAATGACATTTGAATGAAATCTTTTATCCTACCTTCTTTTCCTTTATTCATTCATTTATAGTTACCTTCCAAAACACTCTTCATGCATAATCATTCATTTCTCTGCTATCTGCATAAAGTTGTTTAGAAAGAACTCTGCCAAACAACCAATTAGCAAAGGTCGCAAAACTGAAAACAAATGCATATAATTTGCAAAGGATACAAATTGGGAATGAAAGATATAAATGAGCAAGAAATATATTGGTTGGGGGGGGGGGTTGAAATCAATTGGCTAACAAATACGTGAAGCCATTACTACTTGTTAACATCATAATAGAATGAATGTGGAAAATATAATTTTCCTCTGTTCATTAATGGTATACACAGCTTAACCACTTCTTCATCAATTATATCATTATCATCTATAAAAGGTTAAGCCAATACATACTTGGAGTACATTGAGTTCAATACTATAAGAAATCTGGATGACAGAAATTTTGATCTTTGACCCATTTGAACTACATTTCTTGTATTATTATTTTTATGACCAATAAACAAAAATAATGAAGGAGGAAACAGGAACAATTACACTAATACACTTAAGACCACTCGACCTGCAACCAGTGGCATAGCTTTAGTTCACCAGGGTCATATTTAACAAGTATCATCAATATCATTATGTTGGATTTAAGTTCTACACAATCTATATCAAAATCAATTTTCATATAATCCATTGTAATTTTATATATTTTTAATCACATCAACAAAAGTAATTTAAATTTGTCAAATTACATATTAAACTACAAGTTGGGACATTAATACTATTGCTTCAACAAAAATTAAGCAAAGATCTACACTAATACAATTGTTCACAATGAGTTTTATTTTTTGAAATCATTATACGATAACCTTATTGCATATGCGATCAAACACATATTTTCAATCTATATAGTCAAATAATCATTCATTCAACCATCACTCTGAATCCAAAAAAAAAAAAGAACCATCATTCATTCGGTTACGTATTTGATTTAAATTGCATCGCAACTAAAGATCTTTTCACAGTTGTAGTTGTTACTGGTGGAATCAATGACAACTGTACTTGTTATTTTCACCACACATTTAAAATAAATAATAAAAAAAAAATCAAAATTTGTATTCTAATATGCATTGTGTAATTTTACAAAATAAAAACAAATTATAGAGCATATTGATAATGCAATAGAATAAGAATAACAATTTTTTTGTTTCTCTAATCTCACTGGGTTCAATTTGTAAAATCTCAAATATTTTTGATAAATTTTTACCTTTGTTTTAAGAAAATTTGAAAATTGAGTGGTGACACCACTCATTGTCAGGAGCCGCATGAAAAAGCCAACAACTCCAAACATAGCTAAATAAAAGCAACATTCAGATTTCCCAAGCAACCTGGATAAGGAGATAATTCACCAACTCTCCTGCCCCTTGTACATGCAACACCAATCAATCACGTGCCAAAAATGGGTTGTCGATCCTCTCAACAATACCTCAATTTTGTTCTTAAGAATGATTACCACCAACCAACATTGAAAAAATAATTAAAACTGATACCCAAAAATGTCAATGAGACAAAGCCAAAGAGTTAATTGAATTACTATGACTAGCTTTTGAGGGGTACTTCTAACGCATTGAATTAAAAAGAAAAAGAAAAACCCATCAAACATTTTAGCTGAAACAATCAAAAAAATACCTTGGGATTGGCTGAGGGAAGAGTCAGGGCCACCACAATAGTTCTCAAAGGCCATCTGAAGGGCAGTCCACGCTGAGAGAAGCAAACCGATGCCTTGATGAAGATGAGCAGCGTTCTCTGTTGAAAGTTGGGTCACCTTTTACAGGATGATGATCCATTGGAAACTCTCTCTCTCTCCTCTCTCTCTCTCTCTCTCTCCAAAATTGTAGCCTTTTAGTTTTCAGGCAGTTGCATAGGATAAGCTGAGGAAGTTGGGTCAGGGTGTCCTGGAGACCTGAAAATCCGAAAAAACAAATCAACCAAACGTAGGTCGGTTCGGCTCTACCAATAAAAGTAGATTAATGGTATACACAGCTTAACCACTTCTTCATCAATTATATCATTATCATCTATAAAAGGTTAAGCCGATACATACTTGGAGTACATTGAGTTCAATACTATAAGAAATCTGGATGACAGAAATTTTGATCTTTGACCCATTTGAACTACATTTCTTGTATTATTATTTTTATGACCAATAAACAAAAATAATGAAGGAGGAAACAGGAACAATTACACTAATACACTTAAGACCACTCGACCTGCAACCAGTGGCATAGCTTTAGTTCACCAGGGTCATATTTAACAAGTATCATCAATATCATTATGTTGGATTTAAGTTCTACACAATCTATATCAAAATCAATTTTCATATAATCTATTGTAATTTTATATATTTTTAATCACATCAACAAAAGTAATTTAAATTTGTCAAATTACATATTAAACTACAAGTTGGGACATTAATACTATTGCTTCAACAAAAATTAAGCAAAGATCTAGACTAATACAATTGTTCACAATGAGTTTTATTTTTTGAAATCATTATACGATAACCTTATTGCATATGCGATCAAACACATATTTTCAATCTATATAGTCAAATAATCATTCATTCAACCATCACTCTGAATCCAAAAAAAAAAAAGAACCATCATTCATTCGGTTACGTATTTGATTTAAATTGCATCGCAACTAAAGATCTTTTCACAGTTGTAGTTGTTACTGGTGGAATCAATGACAATTGTGCTTGTTATTTTCACTGCACATTTAAAATAAAATAATAAAAAAAAATCAAAATTTGTATTCTAATATGCATTGTGTAATTTTACAAAATAAAAACAAATTATAGAGCATATTGATAATGCAATAGAATAAGAATAACAATTTTTTTTGTTTCTCTAATCTCACTGGGTTCAATTTGTAAAATCTCAAATATTTTTGATAAATTTTTACCTTTGTTTTAAGAAAATTTGAAAATTGAGTGGTGACACCACTCATTGTCAGGAGCCGCATGAAAAAGCCAACAACTCCAAACATAGCTAAATAAAAGCAACATTCAGATTTACCTAGCAACCTGGATAAGGAGATAATTCACCAACTCTCCTGCCCCCTGTACATGCAACACATCAATCATGTGCTCTATGGGTTGTCGATCCTCTCAACAATACCTCAATTTTGTTCTTGAGAATGATTACCACCAACCAACATTGAAAAAATAATTAAAACTGATACCCAAAAATGTCAATGAGACAAAGCCAAAGAGTTAATTGAATTACTATGACTAGCTTTTGAGGGGTACTTCTAACGCATTGAATTAAAAAGAAAAAGAAAAACCCATCAAACATTTTAGCTGAAACAATCAAAAAAATACCTTGGTATTGATTGAGGGAAGAGTCAGGGCCACCACAGTAGTTCTCAAAGGCCATCTGAAGGGCAGTCCACGCTGAGAGAAGCAAACCGATGCCTTGATGAAGATGAGCAGCGTTCTCTGTTGAAAGTTGGGTCACCTTTTACAGGATGATGATCCATTGGAAACTCTCTCTCTCTCCTCTCTCTCTCTCTCTCCAAAATTGTAGCCTTTTAGTTTTCAGGCAGTTGCATAGGATAAGCTGAGGAAGTTGGGTCAGGGTGTCCTGGAGACCTGAAAATCCGGAAAAACAAATCAACCAAACATGGGTCGGTTCGGCTCTGCCAATAAAAGTAGGATTAATTACCCGTAAGTCAGGAACTGTACTCCATTTAATCTCATAATTTTTTATTTTATGTAGATCCAAAATTTTATTTTATTTTTTTTCCCTTTCTCTTTCTCGTTTTTTATATACATTTGTCGGCGACCACCATCGATTGTGTTCACCGATAATCACCAACTGTTTACTTTACTCTTGTTGACAGCAAAGGAGATGAATTTCTAATAATATTTTTAACGTAGATCTACTTAAATTTGGCCAAGATTACAAGACAAGACTTACATAACATTTAGATTGAGAGCAATCTGAGTAAATCTACATCACATCCAGCCAGACTTAAACCTAAAATTGTTGTCATAATACAATCCTCTCATTTTGTCTCTCTTTCAATCTCTCAATTTTTCTTTTCTTTTCTTTTTTTCCTGCTACACACTTCTGTTTTCTTATTTTAATGGAGAAAATTTTCAAATTCTAAATAAATATTTTGAGTTTTAGTTACAAGTGATAAAAACTAAAAAAATTTACAATTCCGAAGATACATTTATGCTGTTCTATATGATTTTAGCCTTTTTTTTTCACTTTATTAAAACAACAACAAAAATTTAGCAAATATTAACAATCAGAAAAGTTACAAACCCTTAGAAACTACTGATCTGAGATCGCCACTATCGTCGCGACGTGAAATTGTGTTTTAATAAATTGCAAATGAGCAAATTGATAATTTTTGCAGTTTTAAAACTACAAATTTATTCAGTTTGATGAGAAGTAAATTCAAACTCTAAATTTTTACAATTTTGTAAACTGAAAATTATGTGCTCTGTATGATAGATAATTTTTTTCGTGTTTTTTAGTGTTGAGAAAGATGTGGTTAAATTTTATTATGTTTTCGCTTTAATTTTTCCCTTTCTTTTTTTTTTTTCCTTCCAGCGATGTTCTGGACTTTTCAACGAATTTTTGGTGATGTTGAACATTCTAGTAAGACTCCAATGTCGTAACATGTGCAGTGTCCTTAAATTTTAACCAAAAATAAAATTAAATTAAAAAGATTTTTTTGTAACAGTTAAAAATATGCAGGATTAACTGGTGCAAATATTTTGTTTTGAAACCAGATGAGTTTTGATATATGCAAAGAGGACCTACAAGTCAGTGCCCCATAAAATTATATTCAAATTTGGGTCTAAGAAATTACCAACTCTACAGCCTTTTATTTGCACATTACACATTAAATCTCAAGTTTGATCATGGTAACAAAATAATTTTTAATTTTATCAACTTAAACTCTAAATTTTTTATTTGTTTTCAACTAAACCATTTGCTTATTTCTGTTAATTAAAATTGACGAAAAAATAGCATAAATTGAAAAAATTAAAAAATTATTTTATTACAATGATCAAACCTTGAAATTTTTTTTGCAATTTTCCCGATAATATTTGTAGTGTGCAAGCGAAAAGAATTACTCATCAACTTCCTTTTCTCCATCTCTTTTCAAGGTAATCATTGAGTAGTTTTAAAATATCATATATATTTACAATATTTCAAACCAATCAGTTAAAAAAAAATTAATAGACATACTTTTATTTGGTAGTTGAAAAATGAATTATAACGAACTTAGTATGTTATAGTTTCTCATTAAACAAAATACCATCAAATGTAAACAGAGTCACTTTTCCTCCTTTCACTCTCAACTTTCTTTTCCCCATCTCTTTTCAAGGTAATTATTAAGTAGTTCTAGAACACTATATTACCCACATGATACTCTAAACCAATTATACAATTAAAATTTTTATGGATGGACATGTTAGCTCACTATTGTTTGATAGTTAAAAAACAAATAATGACTAACTTAGTATGTTACAGTTTCTCATTATCCAAAACACCATGTAAACAATGTTACTTACCGTATAGCGATCCCGGGTTTACCCTTGTTGTACCATGATCCGGACATGTGTCCGTGGATGTGGATAGTTGTTTATTATCTTGTTTGCATCCTCTTTACTTCATATTTGAGTTATGGGATGTGTTGGGCGGGTTTGTTTCAGGTTGGTTGAGTTTAGAAGCCAAAACTAGTTGCCCAGATTTTTGGCCTGTCCGCTCGAGCGTAGATGTTGGCGCTCGAGCGGGGAATACACCCATCCAGTATTTGTTGTGCAGTGTTGTACGCTCGAGCGTAGGGTTGGGAGCTCGAGCGGAGGTCTGGTTCTGCAAAAGTGCTGAGCGAGTGCATTCTGCGCTCGAGCGGAAGGTTGGCCGCTCGAGCGTACGTCTGTGAGTGGCCGCTCGAGCGGGGTGTTTTACGCTCGAGCGGGAGACTGGGTTAAAGTTCCGAAATTGTGACTTTTCAAATCACTTTTTTTCTCTCTCTTACTTTTCCAAAGTCACCATTGTTGAGCCTCTCACTCTAGACTCTACCTTCTCTTTAGGTTTTGATCTAGTAGGAGTGATTTACTCACCTTTGGCCTTTACAAAAAAGTTGTTGATCGTCGAGGGCTTCATTTTAATCTGAAAATCTCGGGTTTTGGAGCACGTTGGGTTTCACCTTCTTCTCCCTTGGGGCTCCGAATTTGAGGTAGGGATATCCTACTCCTCTCTATGGATTTTGTCTTTAAATTTTGGTATTTTGAGATGTTGGGGTTGGTTTGGTTATTTTGTAAAAGTTTGGGGCTTTTGTGCTATTGTACAAAAGTTGGGGTTTTACTCATAATAAACCTAGATGCATGTTTGGCATGAAGAAATGGAATGAATGTTGAATTATTGATGAAAATGGGACCTAAGGGTTGAGATGTTAATTATGAGAATTGACCTAATTACATTGTTGAATTAATTGGGATAATTAATTGTGAGAAGAGAGAAAATGAAATGTTGATTGAATATCCATTTGTGCATTTATTTTCTGTTTAGAAATAACTGCTTTGGGCTATCGGTGGAGGATAGTCGTGATTGTTGTAGACAATGCATGATGATTAGGCAAACTGAAACTAATCAATGAAATGTGTCATGGAACTTGACGGTTGATAGAATACATTAATTGTGTGTATTGTGTGATTGTATATAGAACCAATGTGTTTATATACGTTATGTGTAGAGGAGGAGATAGGGGATGTACTCCGCGGTTTAGGGGAAGATAGGGGATGTACCTCTAAACCGGATAGTGTTGGGAGAAGATAGGGGATGAACTCCGTAGATACAGCTCATATGCTTGTCTAGAGAAGTGAAGATAGAGCTTATGTGCTTATCTTTGTGAAATGTGGATATAGCTTATATG